AGGCAGCCAGGAGCCAGGCGGCAGGAACGTGGCCCACTGCTCCTTCTACATGTCTCAGTTTGGGTTTTCATTGCTTTGAAGAGACTGCTTCATGCCACCTGACCTTGTCTTCGCCACCCAAACAAGAGAGGGCAACCTCCTCCCTCTTTCCTTTTAAGAGGTCCTGAGAAGCACCACCTCTATGGGACCAGAGAGCCCACAGCCATGAGTGGAGCAAATGCCCATTACATGAGACCAAATGGCAACTCTTACAAAGAAAACACTTAATTGAGGGGGCTCACTTACAGGTTCAGAGGTTTAGTCAGATATTGTTATGGCGGGGAGCATGACGTCATGCAGGCAGATGTGCTGGAGCCAAGAGTGCTACATCTTGCAGTCAACAGGAAATCAACTGACTGACTGGGCAGTATCCTGAGTATATGAAACCTCAAAGCCCACTCCCACCGTGACACACTTCCTCCAACAAAGCCACATTTCCTAATGTTGCCACTCCCTATGAGGTTATGGAATTATAGGATTATGGGGGCCAATTACATTCAAACTACTACACTGGAGTATCTTTAGGTTGTATGCTTCTGGTTTGCAAGATGTCCAGACCAGCTCCTGAGTGCATGTTGCATGAAAAACATTCTGGTTTTCAGTGGAAGTGGATCTGAGATGTGGAGCTCAGAACCTTGACACGAATTTTCATTAGCTGGAAGACACTTAAGGAAATGCTCAACATCCTTAGTCATCAAAGAAATGCAAATGAAAACACCTCTAAGAATGCCCAAGATCAAAAACACTGATGACAACTTATGCTGGAGAGGTTGTGGGGTAAAGGGAACACTCCTGCATTGCCAGTGGGAGTGCAAGCTGGTACAACCCCTTTGAACGTCAGTGTGGTGATCTCTCAGAGAAGTAAGAAACAACCTTCCTCAAGACCCAGATACCACTTTTTGGTATATATCCAAAGGATGCTCAATTGTGCCACAAGGACATTTGCTCAACTATGTTCATAGCAACTTTGTTTGTCATAGCCAGAACCTGGAAACAACATAAAAGCCCCTCCACCAAAGAATGGATAAGGAAAATGTGGTACATTTACACAATGGAGTATTACACAGCAGAAAAAATAATGATATATTAATTTTTCAAGAAAATGGATGTAGCTAGAAAACATTATTTTGAGTGAGGTAACCCAGACACAGAAAGACAATTATCACATGTACTCACTCATAAGTGGTTTTTAAACATAAAGCAAAGAAAGTCAGCCTGCAAATCACAATCCCAGAGAACCTAGACAACAATGAGGACCCTAAGAAAGACATACATGGATCTAATCTACATGGGAAATAGAAAAAGACAAGATCTTCCGAGTAAATTGGGAGCATGGGGACCTTGGGAGAGGGTTGAAGGGGAGGGGAGAGGCAGAGAGGAGAGCAGAGAAAAATGTAGAGCTCAATAAAAAATCAATAAAAAACTTAAGTAATAAATAAAAAGAGAGTTGCGTTAATACTGAGTAGATTCCCTGAAGGAGAACTGGGGAGGGGGACATGTCCCCAGGCCCTAAACACACATGACCCCTATGTTCAGGTGTATCTTCCCATATACTGTTGCAGTGAGGTCCTCAGAGCAAAACAGTTTCCATCTTCCTGAACTCAGCTGTGCTTGCTTGTAAGAGGCTGCCACAATTGGGTCTGTGCACAGCTGACATTCACACAGAAGAGGGGTGAGAAGGGCCAGTGGACCCTCACACGAGACTCTCGTCACTTCCCTCAGACACTTGTCTGCAGTTCTGTTTTAATTACGTATGGCTTCGGGAGTTGCTGGAGTATAGAGCTGGTGAAGGTTGAGGGAAGCTATGGGGAAGCCATCATTAGTGCTAACAGAAGACTTTCCAGTGTGGCTGCTATAGGACCACCCGTGCTCCTGTCCATAAGTCTTCACCCAAGCTCTGTAAGTAAGCTCAACAAGCTCACTGGTTCCTCGGGTGAACCCATGCTTTGGTTTGTTGTTGAGCCTTATGAGGAGAGGGTAGATGTTGCTTATGTCTCCCCAGGGGAGGTATTCTCACAGCACACACACAGAGAGAGAGACAGAGACAGAGACAGAGACAGAGACAGAGACAGAGACAGAGACTATTCACCACACATACACACCAAACACACAGAGATCCAGGCACACATATTTACTCACACACAGACGTTCATGCCACACACTTATAAGCTGCACGGACACAGGTTCACACAAAGCCCCATTCACACACTCACACCACTCCTGTCTTCCTTCCCTTTCTCTCCCCAGCCTTTTGGAACACAGCCTGGGGTATCTGGCAGAGGCTGTTGACCCTCAGTGGGCAAAAGAAATTCTCATCCACTCCTCTCTGGGGAACTTAAGGTAAGGAAGGCGACATGCCTTTCTTGACTAGAGGTGAGGATCTTGGAACACCCAGACAGAGCTGCCTCAATCGTTCATCTCCCAGATCAGTTACCACAGCTCTGGAAACTCCACCCGTCATCTCTCCCATCCCAACCTACCGTACATCTGCTCACCTGTGCATCTAAACCCCTGTCCCCCCCGCCCCCGCCCAATTCAAAATCCAACCAGTTGCCATGGGGAGGCAGTCAATCGGTGTAACAGGAACCCTTGCTCTGGACCCATCCCAGAGACTCAGATTATTACATAAAATGTGTGGTAAGTCCCTCTACACAACCCCCACATCCTGATTGCCCCCTATGCTAAGGAATTCCGAGCCACTCTCGAATAAGATTCCATTCGTGTGTTGACTTGAGCATCTGTGAGGTTCCAGGAAAAGCTGACACAGATACGGGGTTCCTTTTACATAGTTTACACATTCCAGGGACCCCCCACCCTTGGGGCCAAACCATTTCTACCCACAGTCATACAGTTGGGGGCAAGGCTAGGGTGTGGGGGGGGGCAGGTCTGGGAGCAGTCTTCTCTCCAGAGGAAACACGTTTTTACAACTTCTGTAAATCCGACCGAGCTGTCAAAAGCTCCTGAACTCAGCTAGTAAATTGTGAATCGGAAGTCTCAGCTCTCTATGGTGCCACTGAAAACATGACAGCTGTTATCAATTAGGGTGCTTCTGCCTCGAGGCATAGCTGACTGCTCCTGGTGGGGTTTCCTGGTGGGTGCTGGGGCTATGGCAGGGCAGGCGGGCGGTCCTAGAGAAGTCCCCCTGCTCTTAATCTTGAGGTGATGGTATTGCCACAGGGGCAGGAGGCTGAAGCTCTGCCAGAGACATAGGAGGAAGGCATCTTAGGGCAAAGGGAGATGGCTCAGGCGGTAACGTGCTTGTGGGCAAGCACCCAAGTTCCACCCCCCAGCACACATGTGAAGAGGCCTGGTGTCGAGTCAGGCACTGTAGTCCCCATTCTGGCAGATCTCTGGGGTTGCTGCCAGCCAGTCTAGCCTATAGGGAGGTACATTTGAGAGACCCTTTTCCACACATCCTAGAGTACGACATGACATGGTTGATCTCTGTCCCACACACAAACACATATACATGTGCACTCATAACACTCAGGAACAGAGAGAGAGAGAGAGAGAGAGAGAGAGAGAGAGAGAGAGAGAGAGAGAGAG